CACATGATCATATTCAGAACTTTTAATTGGAAGAGACTTCTGGACTTTGGGGGGTGGGAACAATTCCATTTCTTTGTATGTGTGATCTGCGCGCCAAATTCTCAGTTTTGGAATTCCATCTGTAGTTTCCGCTTTAATTTCCAGTAAAAGAATAACTTTGCTCTGATCCATGGAGTCTGGGTTTTTCTTTCTTGGATTTTGAAGGGAGCACACACTGACAGAGAGTTTCTTTTAATAATATTAGTCATAACCGATATGTATGCACACTTTCAATACACAGTGCATTTTACTATGTGCTACAAAAAGAAAAGGGAATGACTTTTTGTTCATACGGTCATTACATTAGAAGGAATTAGCATTATGAAGCAATCAAAGTGGTTTAGGCCAACATCATGGCTACCAAAAAATGGTTGGTCTCTCTGGGAAAGTATTGAGAATTTTTGCACTGAAGTTCCAAATTTTAAAAACTATTATTGTAGTTATTATTAAGTTATTTTCCATCATTTTGAGGAAGCTGGTGCAGAGTTTGTGATTCCAGTACCTTCATATTACAGATCATTTTTTAAAACTCTGAACCTATTCTTTTTCAATAAATTCCAAAAATATGAATAGTATCATGTTTGTGTCCCTGTCTATGTGACACTATGATTTCTAGGACCTATAAGACTGAATTTACAAAAAGAGATCTTACAATCTTGCAAGTTATTTTGCCTTTGCACTATATTAGTGCAGAGAACAATATAAATCCTAATGATACAAACAACAAAGTTATACTCATAAGTAGAAAAGGAGATAGGTAATAGGAAAGATGAGAATGATATTAATACAGTCTTACTAAGTAGTTTTTGACAGTGTTGTGGGAATTAGTTGTTTAGCAGAGTGATGGCATGGAGGGAGACTGTCCTTGGGTCTAGTTGTTCTGGTGCACAGTGCCTTATAGTGTAGTTTTGAGGGTAGAAATTGAAACAATTTATGTCCAGAATATGAGGGGTCTGTAGATATTTTCACAGCCCTCTTTTTGATTCATGTAGTATACAGGTACTCAGTGGAAGGCAGGTTGGTAGCAATTGTTTTTTCTGCAGTTCTAATTATCTGTTGAAATCTATGTCTCATTTGGTTGCAGAGGCAAACCAGACAGTTATAGAAGTGCAGATGATTCCTCCATAGAACTTTATCAGCAACTGTATTTTAGAACACCATTTGAATTCTGATATCAACTCTTTTTCTGTATCATGCTTTTTTAGTCCTACAAGTAATATTGAATACTCATGATTCATGTGATAAATTCAGAGCCTTAAGTGGGCTGAGTTCAGGTGAAGCCTTTCTGGGAATCTCTCAGGAAGCAATGGCTGACTGAAAACTCCACTGTAGAGAGCAGAGCCAATGTCAGTGATGGAAAGAGGAACCAGTGAACGGATTGGCTCTCCAAATTCCTCTCATGTTTTTTATCTTTTCTCCCCTTTGGCCTTTTTGTTTTTTTAATTGATATTATTTTTGTTATCATTGTAATTTTAAATGTCAATGAACATTGCTTTAAAATGTTGAGGTGAAACCTTTCTTGTCTTCCTCTTGTACTCTGCATACTGACGGATATTCAGAGAAATCCATCTAGCTGGTTCAAAATAATATCTACCATTGGATTCCCTCAGCCAGCAAGCTTTTGTGCTTCTGGAGTTACATACTAAAATGCTAGCCCTGACTTCAATTGTAAATCAAAATATTTTAGCATCCTATATTGCCGTCTTAGTTCACTGTTGCTTTTTCACTGTTGAATGGCTAACTTGTAGATATACGGTAATGTAATCTATACTTCAAAATCTCCACACCTTGTTGATGAGTTACTGTACCACATTTAGTCCTGGAAGTTTTATCCCCAAATGGTAAGAATGGCTGGTTCCAAGCATTAAAAAACAAGGGGGTACTTCTATAGTGTCAGTCTAGTAATTATATTCATGCATACATTTATATATTTTCTCTCTGTAGTCCTATCTCCTTCTCAAGTGCCTAGAATCTGATCTGAACTTTCAGTTGAGTTCTTTGAGAAAGGTAACGTGTGAGATTGCTGATCCAGTACTGCAGCTAAAATTTGGACAGATGCAGAGATGGTATTCAGCAGGTTCTGACCAGTTCTGGAGAACAAGTAGGGGAAATTTTGAATAGTTTGGAGAACTGGCAAACATCACCTCTGATTGGAGATTTTACAGTATCCTTCCCCTGCCATGCCCACCAAGCCACACCCACAGAACTGATAATTAAAAAAATTGAATCCCACCACTGGATAGATGGTTTTCTGATGTCACTTCCGTCTGTTTCACTCCGTAGGGGTCTGTCAAATTTTGGAGAATAAGCAATTTTCTCTGTATGCATTACCGCTTCTTCCTCCTCTCAGAATAGCATCTTCAAATACATTTGCTCTGCCTGATTACAGGTATGTAGAATCTCAAGATGTAAAGCAATAAGTCTACTGATGCCAACTATAGTTTTCAAATGATAGTATGTATGCAAGTAGGTTATCAATCTTCATTTTATTGTTATTAAATAGGAAATTTTCCTTTTATGGTGCCTGAAATTAGTTATGGGCTTCGTAACTTTTATTTCCTATGATTCAATTTTCTGCTAATAAAAGTTGAAAGGCAAGTATTCTGTCCCGCTCTTGAAACAAGTTTTTTTCTGGCTAGTATCCCGGGCATCTATATGTAAAATATACTGTATGGCAACTTCCAATCTGCAAGTTCCAAGATTGATATAATGGTCAATTTATTTTAAAGCCTCAAAAGCCTTGTAACATGCATTGAATCAATACTAACTATAATACAGGTTTTCAAAAGGTATACAGTATTTAAAACACTGAAGTTACAACTATGGGACTACCAGAGGTCACATGTATTTCTTTTCATTCATATGGGTAGCAGGACTATACAAAAGTATCTTGGACATTTTAGAATCTAGAAACATGATTTCTATACATGTATCAGAAACAGAACATTCTGCCGAAGACATTCTGAACAGTTTAATCTACAGGAGAATCTCTTTTTGCAAATTCTTCAAAAGAGGAAAATGGATTTTCTTGTTTTTTCTTTGAAGACGTTTCGCTTCTTATCCAAGAAACTTCTTTAGCTCCGGATGCTTCCAGACACCTAACGTCACTCACACGCATGCGAATAACTACTTTGAGGGTGAAGGTTCGTTCTCCGAGCTTGTGGGTTGGTTTCCGAACGTTTCGTTGCCAGGCAAGCGAGCGTCTTCTGCTAGCCTGGTAACGAAATCTCTATTTCGATAAATGCTTTTAAAAGCTCCCGCTTTGAAGTTCCTCATGATTTATTAGCGGCGCAGTTCCGCCCCTTTACGCAAACGAATCCGTTCTCGCTTTCGCCATACGTAGTTTACTGCGCATGTCCGGAGGAGCGCTCGAAGGAAAGGAAGAAGGGGTGTAGAGGAAAGGGGACTGCGCGCGCGCCTACGGACAGGAGGCTGACCAACCGGCGAGCCCGAGCGGGGTTGAGAACGCGCATGCGCGCCGTACTTCTCGTGTTGGTGTTTCTTGTGACTGCTTGGGCCGAGCGACCGGCCCACCGAGTATTTGGTTTTCCGGAGCGGCGGCGAAGGCGCGGCAACGGAAGGGACGGCGGTGGCGGGTAGGTGCTAAAGGTTGGAGGTGGCAAAGGAAGGGCTTTTATGATTGATTGATTGATTACATGTCATGAAGTCGTGGTCAGCTGCCAGCGAGCATATAGATAAGATTTCATCAATGAGTTTTTATGATGCTGAAGCAATAAGAATGTTACTAACTAGAACATACAGCACAATTTTCATCTGATGTTAGCTGTGTGGCAAACCCCAACTCGTTTTGAAAAGCCGAGCATTATTGTTCCTGATGATGACCTGTATAGGGAACCATAACGAAATCCTAGTTTTGTCAAAGAGACTGCATCCTGGAAGATCTCAATAGGAAATTATTTCTTCATTTTTGTTAAGCCATCAGCAAGAACTTTTAACTGGAACCTCAGAAACTGGAGCTGTATATTGAAAAGAGCAGCTATGCAATTGTAATTTAAGCCCATGGTGGCTCTAGAGAATTTCTTTTAATAATATTAGTCATAACAGATATGTATGCACACTTTCAATACACAGTGCATTTTACTATGTGCTACAAAAAGAAAAGGGAATGACTTTTTGTTTATACGGTCAGGTCATTCGCTAGAAGGATTTAGCATTATGAAGCAATCAAAGTGGTTTAGGCCAACATCATGGCTACCAAAAAATGGTTGGTCTCTCTGGGAAAGTATTGAGAATTTCCAATTATACTCAATTATCCTAAATTCTTCCAAATTGGGTTCTCTTAGATATTGAAACTAAAGTTCCTATGAGTTTCAACCAGCAGCAATAGTATCTGTTACTAAAAAGAGTTGTAATCTAGCATACAAAGAGAGATCCAATTTAGGACAGTTAATTAGACCATAAATATGAAATCAAAATTTGTTCACCTTTTTGGAGGACATACTTAGGGGAGAAGCGCTCACTGTTTCATATAAAAAGAGAATTTGATTTTTTTTAGTAAGTCTGGCATCCAACAACAAACTTAAATGATTTTGTTAAATTATGCTTTGTCCTTATAGAATTTGTGAATAAAACAAGATGGCAGAAGAGACTGGAGATGAAAAGAAACTGGTTGCCAAGTTTGAGCTGGAGAGGGAGACTGAACTCCGCTTTGAAGTTGAGGCCTCACAAACTGTCCAGCTGGAACTTATGACAGGCATGGCTGAAATCTTTGGAACTGAGTTGACACGGAACAAGAAATTCACCTTCGATGCTGGTGCTAAAGTTGCTGTATTTACCTGGCATGGTTGTTCTGTGCAACTAACTGGTCGGACTGAAGTAGCCTATATCTCCAAAGATACACCCATGCTTCTCTACCTCAACACACACACTGCTCTGGAGCAGATGCGGTGGCAGGCTGAGCGTGAAGATGAGCGGGGACCTCGGGTGATGGTAGTGGGCCCCACAGATGTAGGCAAGTCAACGGTCTGCCGCCTGCTATTGAATTATGCTGTGCGTCTTGGACGCCGACCCACATTTGTGGAACTGGATGTAGGCCAGGGCTCAATTTCAATCCCAGGGACTATGGGAGCACTCTATATTGAGCGACCTGCAGATGTTGAAGAAGGATTCTCTGTTCAAGCCCCCCTAGTTTATCATTTTGGGTCCACCACACCTGGCACAAACATTAAACTCTATAACAAAGTAAGTATTGTGTGATGAAAAAAGCAATTATAAGAAGGATCTCTGCATAAAGTTTGGCTCCATAAATGATCTCAGAATAGAACTTTGGGGTGGAGATTTGAGTCACCATTTTTAACTACTTGTCTGGTTTCTTTGGACCTTTGTGGAATAGCTTTTCCTGTTTTATTTACATGGAGAAAAGATAGAACTATAAAACAATTTTTTTCATTCCCTTGATTACTAAATGGTATGTATAAGCAGGAGATGATTATAGTCATTTTGCTCCAATTATGACTGTGATTGGCCATTATCAGAGAAATAGCCTGTGTTAACATAGTAGGTAATGAGAGAGAAAATAGCATGATTAGTTGTTTACCATACAAAACTCACTCATAGAGAAAGGGTAGAATTTCTCTTTCTTGAATTTTGAAGCTGATGAGTATAAGCTATTTATATATAACTATTAAGATTTTGTAAAGATATGAGAACTCTACTACTTTTGACACTTTGACAAGTGTATCTTGTACAGGTGTAATTTAAAAAAATATCTCAGAAAGGTTTAGCTGTGATTTATGGCAGGGGTCCCCAACCACCGGGCCCCGGACCGGTACCGGTCCGTGGAACATTTTCTACCAGGCCGCCGGTTTGCTGGGCGCCGCCATCTTGTTTTGATGAGAAAGTGCTTCCAGGTGAGCTTTTCCGGTTGGAAAGCAGCATTTGGGTCCTGAAGGAATCCTCGCGCCTTAGTTTCATCGAAGGGGTGGGGGGGCGGCTTCGAACAAAACTAAGGCGCCAGGATTCCTTCAGGACCCAAGGCAAGGCGAGCCAAGCGACCATCCTGAAGCCGTCCTGAAGCCCACAGGTACAAGGTACAAAGGAGGAGTTGAAGGTGGCGGGGAGAAGCGGGGGACGGCTGGCTGGCCGGTCGCTCGGCTCGCCTTGTCTTGTCATGTGTGCTGATGCCGGTACCAGGCCACGGACCATTTTGTGATGCCGGTACGGGGCCGTGGCACAAAAAAGGTTGGGGGACACTGATTTATGGTATAATGTATAAACAAAGCTTGAATCAAGAATACAGCCAGGTATAAGCAATCTTCATCTATAATTGATGTTTATTTACTTTTATTATGTTAATCTGGTTTATGTAACTGATTAACTGGAAGTCTGATTCAAACATAATTTTAGGTTAAGTCTTGCTATACTCATGATAAAGATTAGGAATGCAGGCTTGGTGACCCTGAATCAGGATGCGGAGTAGTGATTTATCCAAGATTTATTAGGATATATCCAAGATTTATCAGGTTGAGGAATAGGTTACATAATGAGTAAAGATTTGAAATATCAGTGGTGTTTTCAGGATCTTTGTGGAAGCAACTACTTAAAACTGTTAAGAAGAGGGAAAGGGTTATAACTTAATGGAAGATATTTAAGCTCATGAGTTTTAGTAGTTGGCTAAAATATTGAGGATAATGTGAAGGCTCAAGAAACCAAATTAGGCTCTGATGGGCTAGGGCAGGGGTGTCAAACTCAAACCCTGAGGGCCGGATCCGGCCCACGGGGTACTTAGTTCTGGCTTGCAGGGCCGCCCTGGAAATAGCTGACTGGCCCGCGGGACCTCTTACGAAAACGGAACTCGTGAGGGCCATGAGTTCTTTTCCAGTGCTTGGGCCCCCACTGGCACCCCTGACATGAGTGATGTCGAGCTAGCCATGCCCCCCCACCCAAAGTCAAACACAACCCTGATGTGGCCCTCTATGAAATTGAGTTTGACGCCCCTGGGCTAGGGTAACAATAAATGGTCTTTGTCTAAGGGCAGTTTCATACATTTAAAAAAAAAACTTACAAAAATGAACTTTTGAAGGGCTGAGGCTTTCAAAAAGGATTAGTTTCACTTCATGTCCTAAGTGTTTTATCCCAAGAGTTTTGTAGTTTCCTGTTAATTATATGCGTCTATTTCTTGTTTTTTTCTGTAGATCACATCTCGTTTGGCTGACGTGTTTAATCAACGCTGTGAAGTGAACCGCAGAGCTTCAATCAGTGGCTGTATCATCAATACTTGTGGCTGGGTGAAGGGATCTGGATATCAGGCACTTGTACATGCTGCTTCTGCTTTTGAAGTTGATGTTGTTGTAGTGTTGGATCAAGAACGCCTCTACAATGAACTGAAACGAGATCTGCCTCACTTTGTTCGAACTGTGCTACTTCCCAAATCAGGTGGAGTAGTAGAGCGCTCTAAAGATTTTCGGCGGGAGTTTCGTGATGACCGCATACGTGAATACTTCTATGGCTTCCGAGGATGTTTCTATCCACATGCTTTTGATGTCAAGTTCTCTGATGTTAAGATATATAAAGTGGGAGCTCCCACTATCCCTGACTCATGTCTGCCCCTGGGCATGTCACAAGAAGACAATCAACTCAAGCTAGTCCCAGTTACACCCGGTCGTGACATGGTTCATCATCTGTTAAGTGTTAGTACTGCTGATGGCACTGATGAGAACATCTCTGAGACCAGTGTGGCTGGTTTCATTGTGGTAACTGGAGTAGACCTGGAACGCCAAGTCTTCACAGTGCTTTCACCAGCACCACGCCCATTGCCAAAGAATTTCCTGCTCATCATGGACATTCGTTTCATGGATCTCAAGTAGTGCCCTGACTGGAAAAGCTCCATCGAGTTCCCAGTAGCTCTTTTACAAATAAAATTACAATTTTAAATGGAATAATTGCCCCCAAAAGAGGCATAAGAAGTGTGTACAGTAGAAGTTATTTGAAAGGGGGGAAAATCAGTTCTATTTTTTATCAGTCATTAGATAATTCTCAAACATGAATCGGAGAAGATTCATAGATTTTGGCTCACGAACAACTATAATAGATAGAGTTGTGGACTAGCAAATTGTTCGATTTGCATTTTTTCTTGAGCCTCTTTTTCTGAAACTGGGATTCTGCCTAATATGTTCATCCTTAGGCAACCATAATGTGTAAGCATGGAAGTGGTTAGTGATGTATATTTTAAATGATTCCTCTTATCACCGACCTCCCCATATAGATGTATTTGTATTCTGCAGACAACATTCTGCAGGCAATCTTAGAAAATTTTACAGGATTAGAAACTTTAATTTCACTGAGGTTCCAATTCTTAAAAACTATAATTGTAGTTTAAATTAAATTATTCTCCATTTTGAGGAAACTGGAGCAGTTTGTGATCCCAGTTCCCTTCATATTACAGATCATTTTTAAGTCAACCTATTCTCTTTCAATAAATCACAAACACATGAGTATCATATTTGTGGCCCTGTTTATGTAACACTATGATGTGGACCTGCAAGAACTGAATTTACAAAAAGAGATCTTACAATCTTGCAAGTTATTTTGCCTTTACACTATATTAGAGCAAAGAGAAAGGAAGTTTTACATGCAAACAAAATGAAAACACAGATTTCACAGTGTTCAAGTAGCCAAGATACTCCCATTTGTCCCTTCCTCCTTAATAATAACAAAAATCCACTCATCATATGATTCAGGATTCCCTGCTGATCCACTGGTAATTCTTATTTACTGAACTTTAGCAGCATCTTTAAAACAACCCTTGACAAAATGCTTGTTCTTCCTAGATCTCATTAGATAAAACTAACTATTCTCTGTTGGCTAAGATTTATTTAGCTACCCAGGTGGGAGGGAAATCCAACAAATAACTAACTTGGGAATGGTCAGAGCTTCCTTTATTAAAATGTAACCACCTCAACAGCATACTTCCATGTAAGAATATTTCTCTTCCCTAGTTTCTAGAGAATTTAATGTCAAAAATGACAGCAGTGCAATAATTACAGTACTGTCTTAAACCTTTTTTTAAAGTTTAAACAAAGTTTCCACAATATAATCATTAAACTGGCCTAATATTAATCCAGCTTAATTTTTAAGGTACATCAATAGTTCCCTTTAATTCAAATGGCTCTACAGAGGTGTACGGAACTGTCCCCTATGAACAAGATGGCTTTTCGTTCCCCTCATCTTGATGTCACAATACAAAGATGGAATGAATTCTCTTTATAAAGGGTATAGTCTAGAACACCATAAGGATTTTGATAGTTTTTTTTCCTGTATCATGCCTTTTCAGTCCTGCAACTAATATGATTATGTTGGCTACTCATTCAGGTGATAAAATAAATGCAGAGCCTTAAGTGGGCTGAGTTTAAGTGGAGCCTTTCTGGGGATCCCTGGGGAAGCAATAGCAGACCGAAGACAGCATTGCAGAGAGCCAAGCCAATGTCAGTGATGAAAAGAGCCAGTGAATGGATCGGCTCTCCAAACTCATTTTTCCTCTTTTCTCATTTTTCTCCCTTTGGCCATTTTATGGTTTTTTAATTGATATTATTTTTGTTATTGTTGTAATTTTAAATTACAGTAAAAATTATTTTTAAAGGTTTCTTGTCTTCCTGTTGTACTCTGCATACTGACAGTTATTCAGAGAAATTCATCCAGATGGTTCAAAATAATATGCACCATTGGTTTCCCTCAGCCAGCAAGCTTTTGTTTTTCTGAAGACTAAAGTTACATACTAAAATGCTAGCCCTTAATTGAATTGTGAATCAAAATATTTTAGTATTCTGCATTGCCTTCTGTTAGTTTGCTGATATTTTTCACTGTTGAATGGCTAACTTGTAGATATACTGTAATGTAATCTACATTTCAAAATCTCCACATCTTGTTGATGAGTTACTGTGCCTGATTTAGTCCTTGAAGTTTTGGCCCAGAATGGTAAGAACAGCTGGTTCCAAGCATTAAAAAACAAGGGGATACTTCTATAGTGTCACTCTAGTAATTAGATTCATGCATAGATATATATTTTCTCTCTCTAGTCTTATCTCCTCAAGCGCCTAGAATCTGATCTGAACTTTCAGCTGAGTTCTTTGAGAGAGGTAACTGGTGTGAAATTGCTGATCCAGCATTGAAGCTAGAATTTGGACAGATGTTTTGCAGATGTCTCTTCTATCTGTTTAACTCCGTAGGGGTCTGTCAAATTTTGAAGAATAAGCAATTGTCTCTGCCTGCATTACTGCTTCCTCCTCAGAATAACATTTTCAAATACATTTGCTCTGCCTGATCATATAGAATCTCAAGATATAAGCAAGGGTCTTCAAACTTGGCAAGTTTAAGACTTGTGGACTTCAACTCCCAGAATTCCTGAGCTAACATGACTGGAGGAAGAATTCTGGGAGTTGAAGTTCATAAGTATTAAAGCTGTCAAGTTTGAAGACCCTGATGTAGAGTAATAAGTCTACTGATGCCACCTATGGTTTTCAAATGGTTGTATGTATGCAAGTAAGTTGTCAGCCACCATTTTATGGTTACAAAATAGATTATCCTGTCATAGTGCCTGAGATTACAGTTATCGGTTTGGTAACTATTTCCTATGATTCAATTTTCTACTAACAAAAGCTGTAATGCAAGTATTCTGTGGAGCTCTTGAAACAAGTTTTTTCTAGCTAATATCCTGGGCATCTATATGTAAAATATACTGTATGGCAACTTCCAATCTGCAAGTTCTAAAATTAGTGTAATGGTCAATTTATTTTAAAGCCTCAAAAGCCTTGTAACATGCTAAATTCCTCTTTTAGGAGACTGTCTTTCAGCCCAAATCTATTTTCACTTATCAGATAAAAAAATGTTACAAGCTTTTGCAATAACAAAATAATTTTAGCATGGAGACAACTAATAAAATGGATCATAGTAGAAATCTCACCATGGTCAAAATCATGTACTAAGAAAATCTGGATTAATTCCTTTTCCTATATTCTTCGAAGAGTATTAGGGATATAAAATAGTTTTTTTTTTCTTTCCTATTATTTGCAACGTAGTAATTGCATTACACATTTCTGTATCTCTCCAATGTGTCTGCATCTTTAAAAGCAGCATTACTGAACAAAATATTTTTCTGAATTCATGTATTAGAAAGTAGTTCGCAGTATATGTACCAATTTTGTAGCACTATGCTTTCTAAACTGCAAGTATTGAGTTCACAAGAAAAAACTTAGTCATTACTTTACAGTTACAGTTTAACATCAGATCCTCTTAAACAAAATCCTCCCTGAACCAGAATTATCTAGCCATACGTTTGGTCTGAATGAGTCAGCCATAACTTGATGTAACAGACAGCAGTTTCAATATAGCAGGGTAGCTATTATGGAAAACAATTGTTAGGCTAAAAGGCAGTTTGTGAATCTTGAATCTGGAGACCTGCTTTAATATCCAGGCTACTCCATTATATAGCTTCCTTACTTGGACATATTAGAATCTAGAAACATGATTTCTATACATATGAGATCCTCTACCAGAAATACAACTGAAGATTCTGCTCAAGACATTCTGAACAGTAACCTGCAGGTGAATCTCTGCAAATTCTTCAAAGATACGCGATTTCACACAGCGATCCTCTATCGAAACATAAAAATAAATACGCAACTATTACATGCACGCCCATGCTAGTCTTCTAGCCCGCCCCCCCTAATTTATCAAGCAAACGATTGACCCGGATGCTTCCAGACGCCTAACGTCAGTCACACGCATGCGAATAACTACTTTTTTAGCTCCCGCTTTGGAGCTCCTCGTTCCCCGAGTCGTGATTTATTAGCGGCGCAGTTCCGCCCCTTTACGCAAACGAATCCGTTCTCGCTTTTCGCCAAACGTAGTTTACTGCGCATGTCCGCGGGAGCGCTCGAAGAAAAGAAAGGAGGGGTGTAGAGGAAAGGGGACTGCGCGCGCGCCTACGGGCAGGAGGCTGACCAACCGGCGAGCCCGAGCGGGTTTGAGAACGCGCATGCGCGCCTTACTTCCCGTGCTGGTGTTTCTTGTGACTGCTTGGGCCGAGCGACCGATCGAGTGCTTGGTTTCCCGGGGCGGCAGCTACGGAAGGGACGGCGCTGGCGGGTAGGTGCTAAAGGTTGGAGGCGGCAAAGGAAGGCCTTCGTCTCGTCTTTAGGGAGCGGCGTACGTAGAGCGGGGTCCTTCCTCGTCCGTGGGGTGAGGGCTCCGTGGGCCTAACGGCTCTCGGGCTCTTCTTCGGGATGCAAAGGCGCGAGAGGCGAGGGAGGTTCTCGGCCCCTCTCGCGCACACTCCCCCCGCTTCCTTCCGCGAGTGTAACTTCTGCCTCGGCTAGGCAGCCCCGAGGGCCTCTGCCACGAAGAAGACCCCGCCTCGCACCTCTTTTCTCGCTGCTTTCGCCGCTCTTTTGTCACACCCGGAATGGGCTCCGACGCCTCCTGCTGCGGTTCCCAGCCCGCTCCGAGGTTTACCGCTCCCCGTAGTCTTGTCCCACCAATGGAACCGGCGGGTGGATCGATATTCCTCCAAACTTCGTGCCGGTCACCCTCCTTTCGAGTTCTGCTTCAGAAACCTTGATCTTTACCCAGCGATCTTCCATCCTTCCGGGGTTGGTTACATGAGGAGATTGTTGGGAGGGAATATGCCGACTCTGTAAACCGATTAGAGGGGGCTGTAAATCTCTGTGAAGCGATATATAAGTCTAAGTGCTATTGCTACCTCTTTCAAGGCTGCACCTCAAGGATCACTTATAGGGACTATTAAGCGTGGAGGTCATAGTTGTAGGCGACACCTCGAGGTGTGCAGGTATCTCATAAACAGGGAGGAAATTGGGTTCCTCCTTCAAGCTCTTTTGCGTTTTGTATTGGGAGTGTATGATCAATCCTTATAAAAAGGGAGTTCAGTGTAGGAGAAAAGATTGTCGGATAATTTGTCGTTGCTGATACATTTATGTATCGTTTTGCTCACAGTCTTCCATACTGGAACTCAGTTTCAGTTTCTTCCCAAATAAAAGAAAAACGAACTGTGTTTATTCTCTTAGAGTTGTTTGGGAGAAGCTTTATTTTTGACTGCTAACTAGTGTACAGATCACATGTTTTCATCTAGAAAGTTTGCATTCAGGAAAATGTAACAATTTCTTTACACAAAAGGTCATATTGGTAATTGATAAAAAGACTTTCCTGTAGACCTTTTGCTTAAAAAACAGTTCTAATGTCGTTGAAATTAGAACAGAACAGATGTGCAAAAACATTTTAGAGTGATATTTTGATGATGAACACTGAAATCTGTTAGTCTACTTTTAGTTCATATTCTCTTAATTACTTTTTTCCTGTTTCCAAGTTACATGTTCTTGTGTACTACATGACTGGTTAGTCTGTTATTTTTCACTCTATACTTCATTGATTTCTTGTTATGCTTTTTGCTTTTTTAAAAAAAATATTTTTATTAAACATAACATTTAAAAACATTGAACGTGGTGGAATCATTTTGACATAAACTTTGGTCATCACTCTAGTGTAATATAATATACATCTTATATATCTTTGTACATATATGTATACACATATATACATTTATTCATCCTTAATTACATCCTCCAACATCCTCAGTGTTATTTTAGTCTCATAGTCTCGGATATCCTCTCAACAAATTCTTTCCATCTTAGGTCCGTCCTTTCTGTCTCCACCAATGATAAAATCTATTCCAAATTATGTAATATTCTGATTCATCCTTATTTTTCATCTCTAGGGTTAGCCTATCCATTTCATGGCATATCAGAATTTTATTACTTCATCTTCACTAGGGATTTCTTTCTTCTACTACTTCTGGGCAAATACCAGTCATGCTTTTTGCTTTTAATCTCATATCCACTGTCCCTTTTTTGAGTACAATAATATTACTTGGTGCAAATTCTGATTCAGAATTCATATTTTTCTGCAATTTTCTAATTTATGTTTCTTCATTGGATTAATATTTAGAGATTTTTCTCTAATTTCTTTTATTTGCAGTAAGATAGGTGCTCTGACAACATTCCTGGGCTATGAAAATTTCTACTCCCAGAAGTGGTATTGCTGCTCATGTTTTTATTTGTTTTGCAGTAATATATTTTCAATTTTATTTTTAATGAATTAAAATTGCCTACATATGTAAGAATTTCATATTGCTTTTGCACATTAGAATAAATATATTTAAATAGTTTATATGCAAGGTATTTAGACTGAGGCCAACACAATTTGTTTATAAAGTTTTTTTGGTCAGGAAAAGTATAAAGTAAAGGAATATGTTATATTTTTATGTACTTCCTAGCTATCATCCAATTGTTAGGCGGCCTTGGCTCATATAGTACAGAAGGCAAACATGACAAAGACATTTGCCGGTAAGCTGATTTTTGTAATAAAAAGCCTACGTATGAGGAGAAACTTGTTTTGCTGCCGGTAAGAAAGTGAATAGATGATAGGTATTTAGACGACATGATGCAGTGGAAGTTTTGGTAGCTAATTGAAAAAAAAACCCCAAATTGTTACAGTAGAAATAAAAGCTATTTTAGTTGGGTGAAATGTTTAAGTCAAGGGGAAGTTCACATGTAATGCAACCACCTGTAACCTAATCAGTTTATTGTTAGAGAAAGTTGTTTTGGATTAACTAACCATCCTACTTTGAATGAAATAGGAAGGATAAGTAACCAAGTGTTGATACTTCCCTGCTATTAAAGAGTGCCCAGAGTGGTTTCACAAAAATGGGGCACCTGTAAGTGTTCCTTATGACAGAGCTTTCTTCTTTTAATTCCCCACCCCTTTGTTCATTAGGAATAGTTATAATAGCAGATGCATAATCTCCCTTTCTATACCAGCCCTTATCAGGTTGTCAAGTTTTTGCTTTTTCCTTAAGGAGCATAATGCAGGAAGTGACAGTTTTCCAGCTATTTTCCTAACAGCTGGACTTCCTGAAAAGATGGCTACTCATTTGTCTGCCACCATATTCCTGGAGTAAATATTTACCCAAAGGTATCAGCAAACCAGGTTAGCTATGTTATGTGAATGCAGCCTAACTAACTTTTGGGAGAAAAATTATACCTGCAATTTATTTTGAATAATATTTACCTCTTCCAAAATTATGTGTTTAGATCCTTATAGTGATTAGGCTACCTGGATTAATCTGTTACTTAACACAAATTGTGGATAAGCCTTTAATAGTGATTGCTGTTAGGTAATTTTATTGTTAGCTCTTGAGCCAGTTGATAATGACCCTAGAACAAGAGGAGCATTCTGATACTTTTTCAGTATTTTGTATTAAAACTTCTACAAATTCAATTTAATTTAACTTGATGGTGAGTCACTTTAGTGATTTATCCCCTCCAAATTTAAGTGGCATCTGGTTTCCTTTTTCCCATTCTGAATAGCAGTTTACAATTCAGAATTTGCATGATGCATTGAAGGGTAAGCTGTATGATAAAAAGTATCAGTATTTTTTGCTCATCTACTGCTCATATAGAATGACAATGTTAGACACTTGGTTTAGTTGGACTTAAGAGTGTGAAATTTAATACAAAACGGAATATGGCATTATTTCATGATAACTCATGTGAAAATAGGTGGTTTAATTTCAGATACAGTTGTCTATAACATCTGTCACAAGAATGAAATCTTGGTGGAATGGCACATTATATTAATAGTTATTCCATGGAGTTTTCAATTCCTTTATATCATCAAATATAAATTCTTTTATACCATCAAGTTTTCTTTTAAACAGATTAACTTGCCTTCTTGACTCGTAGCTTTTTCTTTGAAGCTGCATATAAAATGAAAATATAACAATGTGTGTGTGTGTGTGTGTGTGTGTGTGTGAAATTCATCAATTCAAACAACAGTTTTAAACAAGAACATGAAGGTTGGTGAATAATTTTTCTACATAGCATCTTTGTACTCTGTTTCAGAATCATTAAAGAGATATGTACTACAGCCTCCAAAAATTCTGTTTGTCACACTTCTTGGAACAAGGAAATTGATTTTTTGTGATTAAATTAAATTTGTATGAGTGAAAAAGTGCCCACTGGGGAAGTAAGATCTTTAAAAGGCATTCCTGACATTCAACTATCAGATATCATCAGGAAGCTGTCCTGTATGTCCCCTGCAGGAAAAGATTCAGATTAAGACAAAAAGTGTCTGCAGCGTAAAATACAATAGCTGAAGGTTAACGCGCATAAGGATTTTTAAAACTGGAACTTTAATAGACAAGAAGAAAATTAAAAACTTTACATTATTTTTATCAAGTTATTTAGACTTGAACAAGGCCATTTAGAGCACTAAAACTAATGTAGGAATCCAAACTGAAGCATATAAATGTGGATCTAGTCATGAACACGTTTGGACTTTGTTTGAACGCATTATTGAATAATAGCTTATACCTCAACCCAGAATCAATTCTATTGTCAAAGTATTTTATAATTTATTCATAAACTCTTTTCCTATAATTTAAGACCATTTCCATATGTTCTGCACGCAGGGAAGATAAGAACAGGCCTTGTCCTTGCTTTAAATATGTTAGACTGGTGTGAACTATGAAATAACTAAAAGAAGATAAGTATTTGAATTAACTGTTTGCTGTGGTTTGGGAACTAAAATAGGAGAATGGGCAAAGTACATATTTCCCATTTCACCTCACATTATTTTAAGAAATTCCATATTTTATCCAGGAGAAAAACATTGTATCTTAAAATTAACTTTAGTTTGGAATTAAGGCATTCATTTGGAATTAATATTAATGTAATACATCTGAACAATTTTATTTAAAAAATGCTGAATTATGAGAAGTACAGAATCCATCTATAAAGTATACGGATATTTCTGAAATTTCAGATCTGGTATATGATTTAGTCACAGCGGCTGGAGTCACTTAGAAGTTATTCATGTACTGAATTACCAGATTGTCTGAAGCTGATGGCTGATACAGCATAATTTTTTAAAGACAACCACATGCCTAACATCTAAATACCATTAACTTGTATAAAATGTTACACTTTTTGAAAGTAATAAATCGGGGGTTGTGATATAGCTTTCATATTTTGCTCTTAAAGGCTAGGCCCTCACTAAATATTTTTGCAAACCTA